CGGGGTGGATGGATGGTCCACAAAACTTTGCACTTTAGCGTGCAAGAGTGCTCTTTGATTTTGAAAATGATGGTCATTATTTTGTTTTTTAAGTCTTGCTATTTCATGGCTTTAACGCTTGAGTTTATTATTGCAACTATGGCAATGAAGGTGAAAAAAAAACTACAAAAAAAACCCAACTTACTTTAACCCAAGCAGTGATGTTTCACTAACCAAGTTCTTTGTGTCGAAATCTTTACTGTAGCATTATCAGATCAAAAAGGTTTTTTTTTCTGATTTATTTTTTCATTTTTTAATTTAAACTGTGATTTGATGATTGAACACACCAGTACACACCTATGGCTGGTATTGAGGGGCTTTTGTTCATTTTTAGGGGGGCAGAATTTTGAGAACCACGATATAATGTGATGCAGCTCAATAATACAGCATCAATGACAATGGCTTAGATTATCCAACTGTAGCTAGTGAAGTGGCCACTGAAAATAGAGTATTACCATCTTGCTTTAAATGTCAGATTAAACTGTAAAGAGGCCCTGTGCAAAAACTTCTGGCAGACAACCCATCCAGCCTGGTGGATTTGTAGATCAATAAAGAGGTTAAAGAGGTTAATTAAAGCATAAATTTGGGTTTTTGACATTACTTACCAGATTACGACTGATGAAACAGCAACAGTCAGGCATCACTTGTTTGAAATAATGAATGAATACATTGTCTGATATGGGAATATCCACATCAAACCTTTGAAGATAGGAAAACACACACTGCTCAGCTATGTTTGAGAAATGCACAGTTGAGCGAACATTAAAAAAAAAACCCAACATGGTCCGGGTTGAACCATCCACTTATTGGAGGGCTCTTGGGAGTTTTAAACAAAAGCAGAGGCGGGGGTGGCAGCTCTCAGGTGGATGATTATTGAAGTTTCTCACAGGAGTTACAAAAAAGCCCAGTGTGTAGTCAGTCTAACACATCTGTCAGCTCTGATGTATTTATGGTTCTGAGACAAGAAGCGTAAATTGTGTGTAGGTGTTGTGGATTTAAATTGTGATAATACAAACCTTAATTAACATGAGATAACAAGAGAACTCTACACAAAGTTGGTGCATTAAAGTGCAAAACGTGCAGTTTTAAAACTGTCACTCATTGAAAAGAGGCTGCAAAACATTCATATTCTTGTCCTGTTGGGAGGAAAGCAACTGAACTTAGCACTCTTTGAACAATACGTATGAAAATATCTCAAAGGCAGCACGAAACGTATGCCGACAGTTTCCGTTTGGGTTCAGAACATTTTTCAATACACTGTTTTGCTCAGAAAATCTGTCGCTGCTTTGGTCTCGAGGCTTCTTACGTGACATTATTGTGTTGCTATAGTGAAACTCAGCGCTGTCAGAAGACGCCCAGCAGGAAACAATAACCCAGCTGGACTGCTTCAAAGCTGCTGAAGCAGTGCCTAATTTTGGACATGACTACTGTGAGCCAAATTGTACTGGCCACACGTCTCCATGTGCATTCCTTTGCAACATTAGGTCTAAATATTAAACAAAATTCACAGCAAGAAATGTCCTCAGAAGAAAGCTTTAGGGAGATTAAAATATAACCTCAGGATGCACCAACCTGCAACCTTGATGTTTGGCAACCATTATGAAATGCAGAACTGACTCAAGATGCAGTTCCTCTAGTCACCACCAGGAGAAACCAAAATGAACGCGAAAAGAGAAATTCCTGCTAATGAGGGAAATAATCAATGAGGTTGAAATTACATGGCAGATTTGCATCATTTACAACCATTTGGCCACTTCACTGTTTTGATGGATGAGATTACAATCATTTTGAAAATATGAATTGTTGAAAAAGTTAAAAGCGCCACTCTCTGACCATAAGGCTTCTTCTTAAACTAGCCATTTAAAGCAACCCTGGTCTGAAAGTGGAGTTCTGGTTTATGTCCATTGGTTGTATTTCCCCATTAATGTGGCTACTGTGACTTTGTGGGTCATGCAAACTTTCCACCTCCGCTGTGGAGATGAGGACTCATTTGAGCAAAAAGCTTTGCAATTTAAAGAAAAACAAAACATGATTTTTGCACGACTCCTTTTTTGTTTTCAGTCTTACAGATTCACCATTTGGAAATTTGTTGCAATAGGGAAATTCACCTGGAGATACTTGCAGCTGACCTCGCCTTGTATATTCATTGTGCATGTCTTTACATTTGCTCAGTTTTTGCCCCACTATACACAGTGGTTTTTTGCAACTCCAGATATCTCTGAATCTCAACAGCAGAGGTGGAATGCAAAGTTAGCATGCAAGTTACCACCATGACCACAATAATGTGACATTTGGCACTAATTCTGTAATGTCCATGCGTTGCTAGTAAAAGTTGCTGGATGGTCGTTGATGAAACCCCTGAAAACTCACCTCTGTGTTAAAGTTACATCCCTCCATACCTAAAAATGTATCAGATATGACTTCATACTTTCTCTCATGCATGCATCTATGTCATTTCCGTCTCTCTTTCAACTCACCTCTCCTCACTCGCTGCAGGTCGAACACACCAGCTCACCTAAAACTTCGCTTTAACACTGTAAAACTACACTAAACAATGGCAAGTTGTAATATCGGAGTAATTAAGCCATACTAGTTTGAACTGTAAACCAATTCTACAGAAGAATAATGCAAGGCCAGTTTAACTGCTATTGATACACACTTTAAATCATTAGGTTAAAACAGAGCCAATCAGGTTTATATAACACCAAACCAATAAAGAATACATTTTACCCTGTATTCCTGGTTAGAAAAACACAGACGATGATGGTAAATTTAATGTTTTGAAAGTCATTTACACATTGTTTTATACAAGTATTAATCTTGAGAAATCTTTTGAGGTAGAACTTCAGGTTTTGTTTTCAACACTGGGTCAAAATGAACACATTTTACTCTCAAATAACAAAAAAGTAGTGCTGGATAAACTTAATTCACTCTTGTGTCAGTGGCCCATTCTGGATCAGCATCAATTTTTAGCATATATTTATTATTCACGAGACTTTTATATCACCCTGACTGTTCCTGTGGTGTTTCACAGCCAGCGTACACACTGCAGCATATTGAACATAATGTGTTTCTCCAAACAGCTCTCATTTCCTGGATTGTTAGAATTTGCAAACGTGCTGCCTCTGAACTCGACTTCACTTTAAGTCTGAATACGCTTTAAGAGACTGAATTTAATGCGACCGTAGAACTGATTTCGGTACAGAAACATGAATGACATGCAACAGTTGAGCTCCTTTCATTTTAAAAGCAGCCATTATCTGTCACCACATCTGTGGCTTAAACAACAACCCAGAATGGCCTCTTCCCCCTTCACTAATCTTCCTTTGCCGCGCGCCTTTATCTCTCGCTAATCTTTAACTCCATCTCAGCGATGTCTGTGTTTTTTTTGTTGTTCTTTTTTTTTTTTTTAAATATATATTTGACTGATGTTTAAGATGTGTATCTTTCATAGCGCCTTGAAGGGTAACTTCCATTTCTTTTGATAATATTCTAGATGCAATCTTAATGCAAAACAGAGTGTGAAGATGTGAGCATCCAGGCTGTTTTAAGGGCGGCAAATTTGCACAGGCTCCATCATTTGCCAAATAGCTCGATTTAGCTGGAGAATGGCTTTGCCAGAGGCCATATCCGTCTTCTTACGCCTTACTATTTTGAACTCACTCAGAAAATTAACAATTTTTTGCTGGCTTTGCTTATTCTTTTTTGGTGTTCTTTCCCTCTTATTCTTGTGTTTTTATTCCTTTTGTTCCTTCTGTCTTGTGTTTGTTTGCCCTTTGTCTCTTGATGCACTTGACTGTTCTGCCTCTTCCTTCACATTTCTCTCATTATTCTGCCTGCCGCTCCTCTCCTAGTCCTCGATAAGCAGCCGCTACAGCAGCGAATCTGACACGTGACGAGTTGAAAATTGTTTATGTATCATATTTTCCATGACATCTGCTTCAGAAGCGCCGATATCCAGGTCAGATGTCTGTGCTACGCTGAATATTTTATTGACCTTCATTGGAGAAATTTCAGGGGCATGTGACTGCTTTTATCCCTTCTTTTAATAGAAAACACTCAATTTAGTTACTAGGGAGACACACATGAACTATAAATGATGTTCTCTTCTTTGTTGCCTTCATAGAGGGAGGGTAAGGGTTTAAGAAGAGGGTGAATGAGGTGTTGAAAAAAGTAGAAAATATGCAGAATTTCATCATGACTATGACTGTTTAGCATCCTGAATTAAGTAGCAGAACAGCAGAACTTTTCTTACAAAGGTGAGCCAGTAGCGATGCTTTATGGGGCGTATAAGGGATTAACTTCCGACATACCGTTAGTTAGACGTTGGAATGTGAGAACATGTGTGCTCGCATCAGACCCCGGCAGGAGGTGGGTCATCAAACCACGTCTCCACCACCTGCTCGCCGCTGCACAGACTTTTTGCTTTACGAGAAGAACCGGTGATGCATCGCCCGTCGTTGTGCGCAGCCTGTGATAAAAAATAAACAACGAATGCAACCGGTGGCCCGACACCTGCTGCTGTACAGCCGAGTTTACCTGCAAATCTGGTTGAATTAATAACACTAACGCACATTGCTATTATCGGGCCTCTATTAAAGCCCGTAACTACGTGAAAGCCTTTAAATCCGACTTTCCCTCCCTATTTTTTTAAAACCTCCTTCGCAAACACCTGCGCTTGCTGTCTCCCTCCCTGTTCTGCTTAAGACAGCCTCCACGTCGCGGCCAGCTGTGGTTGCAGGTGTGGGAGTGAAGCAAAAAGATGGTGATAGTTTTCTCTGCTGTCAGAGGGCTCTGCCACACTCAGTCCACCGCCTGCCTTCGCACACTCCACCTGCCACAAGTTAACTGCCAGAAACACGAGCAAACATCTGCCTCATTCACTGCTAATGTGGCATTCCGGCATATATATACGTATATACGGCGCAAGTAAATAGATCTGTCCTTCTTCTGTTTCCCAGGTAACCGAAACAAGGACGGGCCCTCTTGGCTGCAGTAACTACGACAGCTTGGACTCAGTCAGCTCGGTGTTGGTGCACAGCCCGGAAAATAAGATCCACCTAAAGGGTAAGGCTGGATAACACACACACACAGACACAGGCAGACGTATATTCTCTCACATATATTCATCTTCAGTTCATGCACACACACACAGAGCCTCAGCCCTGAGAAAAAGATCCAGTGACGGGATAGGATTTTCCATACACTTGAGCACACACACACACACACACACTGCTGCCACCTCCATCCACCACCCTGCCAAGCCTCTCACCTCCTGCGTGTAGTAGTTGGCTGGGATGACCCTTTACTTTACGCTGCAGTAGTTTATATGTCTGTTTCTGCCCGACTGGCTCTCGGTCTCATGGGGAATCTGTTATCTTACCAGGCTGTAGATGGAGCGTGTCTGGCCGCGCTGACCTCGGCCTCACCTCTCCATCCACACCTGGGGCACAAATACAGCCAAAGGAGTAACACGTGGACTGGCCTTCTTGGTTAATTAGACCCGATTATCAACAAATGATTTTGGATAAGGGAATATCAGCAGAGTACGAAATCGCGCTTTCACATCCAGACACACTGGAAAAAATAAATGTTGGTAATTTTGCTGCCTTGATAAGCTTTTTTGCCTTAAAAAGCATTGTGTAATTCAGTTCAATGTGCTGTTTAGTGCTTTGCAGGGATACAAACTTTACCATCTTCTACCAATACATAAATATGTGATCAACAAGGATGAAAGTTAAAAGAAGTGAGATATTAGAGGGGGAGGATCCAGAAGGAACTGGAGGATGATTGGGAACACTCTGACATGAGGAAGCTATTTAAGGTGTCTGTAACTTCCAGAGGAGTTGTATTTATGTAGTTTTATTTCCACTAAACTCTACTTGTAGTTAATGCTGCTTCGTTTTGACTCCTACATTTGGATGCACTCTACTACACACTACTTTTGTTCTGTATTTATTGCATGCAGTTATGCAGAGAAATCCCCATAGAGATTCTAGTGGTGTGATGATCCTAAGTCTGCAGTTGCTTTGTCACATAACCGTGACCTCTCGTCACTCTCAAGACACTACAGACCCTTTTTTTTTTACTCTCAGAGTTTGGCTGCTAAAAAGTGCTAGAAGCATGAACACCAACTGGGCGTTACACTTGCTTCTGCTCATCTTGCAAATTTAGTCATTTTTTTCCAAAACCAGAAGCCTTCTTCATCTGTTCTGTTTACTGCTGGTGACTTTTTTTGAGCTATGCAATCTTAATACGTGCTGGTTGGTAGATTTCTGCTCTGTTTTCTTTCATTCAACACTGCTGCTGTTGTTGTCCGGTGACCAGAACAACAACAATGAACGTCCCTGCAGAAATCAGGGGGAGGACGTGCAGATAATGCAAAGATAGAACAAAGTGATGAGGGACAAGAGGTGGATCCAGACAACAAAAAGCTGATGGAGAAGAGGATTTGTGAGCCATAACCCCCATCAGGCAGAAACCTCTGGGGCTGAAAAATAAGGCCAAGGCAGAAATGTCAAAAACTGCAGTTCCTCAAATGACCTCTTGAGGCCGGCTCTAAAAGTGAGTCAGTACCTATAAAACCTCAGGTTAAAATGTCTAACTTTATAGCAGAAATAAACATGCTTACGGCCCTGTACAATAAACAGTTGTGGTCTCTCTAGCTTATTTCCCCAATCGTGACACTGTACAGGTGTTACATTTTTATATGCCTTGCCTGTTTCATTTGCATTAAGGCTTACAGTTCTGCATAATCAAGGGTGTGACTGCTTCGAGTGTCAAGTCCGTGACTCAGAGATGTTTGCATGGCTCATCTCAGCTCCATCATTGCTCATTTTTGGATTAACTGGGAGTAAGGCTGAGTCAGGCACCCTCAAGATGTGATGGCAAGAAGGCACCACATACGGGTGGCACCATGAAGTGTTTGTCCATCTTTATAAACAGTCTATAATATCCCTTCTGCTGTCATGGGCAATGTGAGCCCATAAGATGGGCAAGCGGATGGCTCTAGTGAGGAAACAAGGGGACTTCTGTCAGTGGACTGACTCTTATTGATTTTTAGGTGGCTCAGGCTAACAGGGATAAATCTGATCGTGGAAAAAAAAGAGGTGAAGGGCGTTCATATTTATGAACAACAACTGGTGTTGCATTACAGTGAAGAAACATTTCTGCAGCCCAGGTTTTGAACTGTTAGCAGTGGAGCTATGTCCTCACATATCCAGGAAGTGTTTACATGCCATCTTGGTTGTTGCTTACATCCTGCCCCTCGGCTAACCCAGCATATTATTTTTATGTTATTGTATTTGCTATATTCTTGTAAAATGCTACAACTTTTACATATTTGAGTGAGTCTTTAAGAAGCAACTTCCACATCATTCTGACACCAACTTGATAGGAAGCAACAGTCCATCTATTTACACCATATTAACATTATTGGTGCTGAAACCATCTAAAAATAACACATAAACTATAAATCCCAGACTTTCTGGTGCAGTATACAAAACTATCCTGTTGTGCCAAAAGCATCTGTATGATTGAATTGGAACGTGAGATTGGGCTTTGTCATTTTGAAAGGAAGACAAACAGAGAGCAAATTATGCAAGTGGGAAGAAAAAAACTGATTATTTTATTGTTATATGATGAACAAAGTGTACAACCAGGAAGTTCTCCTGAGGTGAGCTCATTTAATTATGAAAAGCTCACTCTTATGTTTATTGCTTAACCTCTAAAAATCACAATTTAGACTCGTTTTTTCTGATAATGACTTGATAATCTCAATTACTTTTAATTTTGTAGCCATAACAGGATCAATATCCCATTTCCTTCATTTGTAAAAAGGAATTAGAAAACTAGGTTATTATGAGAAATCAGGCTTTATGGGATATCAGACATGTTTACATGCACTGTGGTAACCTGCTGCCCCTGTAGATCTGCTGGTGGATGTGTCTGAGGGGACTGAGAGCTGCAGCTTTTCTCTGCAGCATAAATGTTTCTGATTTTTAAAAATACGATCTCATAAGATTCACAGATGTGTGTTTACTTCTCTACTTCTATCTGAGAAAGCAAAGCCCGTCTATGGTCAGCGATGTCCACAAAAACATAAAAAAGCGAGGAGCATTTTTTTCTTTTACCGATTGACTGCTGTCAGTAGATACCCACACACAAGTAGTTATTTGATAGAAACCTCAGAAGACTTCTCGACTACACTTTTTTTCTGCTTCTACTGACTACAGTTGCTAACCAGGGCGCTGAGGTTCTCCCTATACTCATGTCGTCTGAGGTATTCTTGGCTCTTCACTGTATGCTGAAAACCTGACGGCATCAGTCGGTCTCCTGTCCAAACTCCACTTTAGTAAAAACACCTAAACACAAACAGATAATTTAAGTCAGTACGCTCAAGGTTGAGGTCGAGAAGAAATACTAGCAAGCTTGGCGCACACCATCCGTGAGCTCACCAACCCACCTGCCAAAGTCTGCGATTCATAACGTTTAATGAACATGAGCACATATTAAAAAGATTCACAACTCCCATACGACTGAATGCTAATACAGGAGGAGGAGGCTGGAGGTGGTTGGGTTAAATGTCTGAAAGCAGTGTTTTGTGCAGACTGAATGAGTGCCAAATATTCATACAGGCTGTCTGTGAGAGATAGGTCATGGATGTACATATATATATACATGAAAACGCGTGAATATAAATGACTTTCATGTCTGTCTGAGCTGCTGCAAGACTCCGCTAACAACTGATCTGTTTTAAAGAATATCGTGTTCAGACAAGTGAGTTCAGACGAGTTAATCAATAGTTGTTTGTATTTAATACATATACCACTGATGATATGACTTTAAAGATCCCTGTGTGCTTGACAAAAACCATGGTCAGCAAGGTCTATGAAAAAAAAACAAATCCACCAATCAGCCAAAACAATAAAAATACTGAAGTTGACAGAAACCTTTGGTAATGGCATTCATGTGGAAGCCACTTAAACAATGTTGCAGACTAAGCATACCCACCGTGGAAATGACACTGAACAATTGCCTGAGGCCTTCCACAGAGTCACAGTGAATGCTGCCACAATGCAAAAACTGTTAAGAAACAAGTTGAGGAACATGGCAAATAGCATAAGGAGTTGAGCTGGCCTCCAAACTTCTGAGATCCCCAATCTGACTGAGTATGCATGGAAACAATGCAGTGAAGTCCCAAAAGATTTGCTGCCAAAGACACCACAGTACACCCTCAGAGTCCACAGCCTGACATGTTACTACGATTCTGGTGATTCAAGAGCGACCTCCACAATTTTGGGCAGGTAGTTTTAATGTTGTGGTTGATTGATGCTTTTTTTGATATCAGTATCAACAAATTTGATGAACATTCGGAGAGCTCAGACTATATGTCTGGTTGATTATCGAGAGGCGATTGACTTGTTTATTTAATTATTGTTGGAATGTGAACCCCGTTTCCCTGGAAACAAGGCCTCTGCTTCTTACATGTTTATGCAGGATTAAAAAGGGTTCTTTTGCCATTGTGGTGCACCAGCAGGAAAGACCAATAGCCTGACAGGGGTTTGTTTAGCACAATTTTCCACCAGCGCACTGCTTTCATTGTTAATGCAGTCCTGTTTAATAATATAGCACATCCCCTGCTGCTTTCATGACAGGGAAAGATAATAATCAACAAAAAAGTGCCTGTTTAGGCTAATTGCTATGTGTATGCACACGGAAATGAAATTGCTTAAATCAGCCACCTAGGGAGACTAAATCTGATAGTGTAGAGACACATTTCCTTATCTTTAGGATGACAGAGCAAGTCTGTCTCCTAAGATGACCTGAGATAAATATGGTATGATTTGTTTATTTCAAAACACTTTCGATGGAGTTTGCTGTTTTTTTTTTTAGATTTCACGGTGGCCATCGCTGCTCTTCATAATTACCTCATTCCAACTTTTCTCTCTCAGAAAAATGCAACTTATTCTGAGGCAATGTTCTCTTATTATTAATTCAGTCGCTGATTCTACTTTTTTCATTACGACTGAAATGAGGTTCACAACTTTGTTTAAGATTTTTGAGTG